AACCAGCTCTTGAAGAAATGCATCTAGGAAATGTCTGGTTCCAACAGGATGGTGCCATGGCCCACACAACCCGAGCTTCGATGACAGTTTTGAGGGTAAAGTTCCTCGGACGGCTCATCTCGCTTCGAAGTGACATCCCGTGGGCAGTGCACTCACCTGATCTAACGCCCTGTGATTTTTTTTATGGGGATCCCTCAAGGCAGAGGTTTTTAAACATCGCCCCACAAACCTGCTTCAGCTGAAGAAGGTTATTCAGCAGGAACTAGGCCAAATTCTGGTGCACATGTTGGAATGTGCAGAGGGGAACTTCAGAAAATGGTTGCATCAGTGCACAGAGAACGGTGGCCACCACTTTCAAGATATTTTGTTTAAAACTACATGATTGAAAACTTTAAAGTATGTTCTTTCATTAGCTAAACATAAATTTTGTCTATCAGCAATAATTTTTCTTTCATTCCCCTTCAAAAAAGGAAGTTTCTGCGCCCCACCCTGTACTTTGAGAATTTCTACATCTGTCAACACAACAGTTTCTTATAAAAATATACAAAAACAGATTATTTACATTAAAATCTTAAAAACATGCATGTTTCAACCCTTACTGGGTCCTCATCAGGTGTACTGTCTGTGCTTAGGTGCTGAACTAAGATTTTTAATGTAAATAATCAATATTTGTATATTTTTATAAGAAACTGTTGTGTCCACTAGTAACCATATGTATCACAGTTACAGGTCCAACATCAGGTTACCAGGTTATCAAATTCTGTGAAGTAGGAGAAAAAGATGGCTCACTTTACAAGTAAAATGTTATGCCCTAATATGGAAGTAATGCAAGTCTGTACCAAGTGACTTCAGCTCCTCTTCATTAGTGCCTGCCATGTTGGCTAATTTTCTTACTTTGTACTTAGTGGCTTCTGATTTCCTGGTAACTGCAATGGTAGGAACTTAATCGCAGGCCTTCCACCAAACAGGCCCAGGTTTGATCCTAGGTCGGGTCACATTTGATTTGTGGTGGACAAACTGGGACTGAGGCAGGTCTTCTCTGAGTACTTTGGTTCTGCCTGCCTATTCTCTCTCATTCTACCAAATGATCCAAAAGCATCTGTCATCCAGGGCTGGTACAATAGGCCCAACAGTGGTTGGCACACCAACTGAACTCAGTCCTACTTCACCCCACAAATTAAAAAGGACAGCAGCAGAATGTGTGCTGCTGTGTTATCATTAATAAATTTTCTCACCACAGCAGTGGGCAAAGGTTTCACAACTGTTCCATAAAGCAAAGCTGTCCGTGTTCTTAATTAAGCATCATGCCATGAAGATATGGGTGAGGGTTTGAAGTACAGCTCTACAGGTTCTTAAACTTGGCACTAGATAGATGTGACTGGACAGCTTCATGCCCTGGCCATTTTACCATCAAGGAAACAGTCCTGAGTGCCCAATGGGCAGGAGAGGCTTGCCGGTCTCATTGCTGAAGAGAAAGAGATGTTTCCTATGCCAGCAACTGAACCCTAATTCCTTTGTTGTCTAGCCCATAACCTAGTCACTGTACTGAGCTATCTCAGTTCTAGAATTCAACCCACACAGAACAAAAAAGTATAAACTTACCATTTGCAGAACCATAACCTCGATGTGACAGATGAGTTAAGTGATTAGTAACATCAGGCTTATGAGACCCAGTCCAGCAATGGCCATTTGTCTGTGCTTGGTATGTAGTGCTTATTCCCAGGGTCTCATGGGTTTTTTCTACCCATTCGTAGCTTTCATGCTCATCACCGTTCGTAGCCTCAGACCCCTCACTGCCATCTGCTGCTGACTTCTCTTTCCTGCTGAAACCAACAATCGTGTATCTGTATACACATACACACATGCACTGCTACAGAATTCCCATTAGCTGTTATATGTTCATGCATGGGCAGAAGAGAAACGACAGGCCATCACGACTGGTGTACCCATAACAGGTAAATAGCACATGATATGCTACCAGTTGTCGAGGCAATATCAATATATATCTATATAAATAAACAGAACCAAGTTCCCTTCTGTAATTCCATGTCACTGTATTGCAACATACAACAAGTGGCTGAAAATTGGCAATAAACAATTAATTTCTGATTACCAAACAATAAGAACAGAGAGCAAACCACACAAAATGTAAAACTCAATCATAAAAATGCATGCCCTTTTATTTGTATCGCAGAATTCTGAGCTGCTTCATTTTTCAGGATCAGTTCCCCCACCTTGGTACCAAACATCAAGGCATAATGCTTCATACTAAGAGGTCCTACAGTTGATTCTCAATCTAAATGCCAAGTATTCTACTTTCCCCATTAATCAATCAGATGCTGTTACAGCTTTCTGAATCAGTGTCATCGAGCTGTGACCCTAGCTGACATTCACTCAACCCTTTGGCATTTAGAAGAAACATTAATTCTTTGTGGTATTACTTTGGACTCCCACAATCCTGGTTAGGAATGCGATCAAAAATTATTTAAATACATATCCTCTTTCACAAAACTGTGATAACAATAATAATCTTACCTACAATACTGATGAATAACACACTTCAAGGACTGCTTTCATTTAGGCACATGTGTGAGAAAGGCTTTTCAGCTTGCGACCAGATGACAATAAATTTTTGAGAATCAATGACAAATCTACCAAATTTGTTCATGGTAATCACAATTTACAACACTGGCTGGCGACCTTTCCAAAATGTAATAATTTGTACTACTTATGCCCCTTGATACAGGACCCTTTTTAAGTGAAAAATGTTCACAAATCATTGTGCTCAAAACTAATTCAGTTCTAGGGCTACAGTACTATTGGAGTGGGAAGTCCGCAATCCCATTGCAGAATACTAAAGGCACTTACAAGTTTGGAAAAATCTTGAAATTTGAGATTGAAAAATCAATGCTGCAATCAAGACTGAGGTACTTTTTCTCAATTCAATCTAAAAAATCTGGAACTCACACATGTCTAGCTTTACTGCAAATGAATAACATATGGGAACCATTTCTAACTTCACCCTTAAGCAACTGTTTTGTGTAAACTATGTAAAAACATGTAGGCATCAAGTTGGATGAACACTCAAATTTGCACTCAGAGAAGAAACTTTCAACTGCACTGCAATATTTTAATTAAAAAAAGGCAGAATTACTACTGTAGAAGAGCATCCATTATACCAGTGTTGTGTTCATACCCTTGAGGTTCCTGAATACAAAGTCTAGGGATTAATTTGAATCATCGCCATGAACCTTATAATGAATATAATAAAAAATGTCCATTTTAGCAATTTCCAAAATATTATGTATATCAAATATACCTGAGAAATTGAGAATGGCCAACATAATGCAGATAAATTAATTACAAACTGTCATAACTTTCATAAATCAGAAGTTAATGCACTCTACAACCGACAAATGCACAATGAGGTGGCTAATCGTCAGAGCTCAGACACACTGCCATCAGTGAGCTACCTGAATGATCCAAAACATGTAAAATGTGGAATTTGAACATAAATGACCAAAGAAACTGAAGTCAGATTTGTCAATGTTGCACTGGCTCATAGCACAACATTCCAACTTATTCAATACAGACACTCCTGTCCCCTCCAGAATATCCAAAATAGAATCAGATTTCTGAAAGTGCCTGATAATTTAAAGCACAACATGGGAACTGAACAGGATCATGCTTCAGCGGGACCCCTGAAACTATACAAATGGGCAACAACATCACTTCTGGAATTTCTGGGCTCACCCTCAAACAATATGTCCCAAAAATCAATTTGTTGAAACCTGTACTAACCTCTCACACACAAATACAAAATGTATCTCATTCCCACAAGACCAGAACTAAGTATTACAGACATGGCTAGAAACAATCATACTGTAGACAAGCAGAAGAATCTCTGAACTGAAGGAAATAAGACAGAGAAATCCTGTGCACAAAGATTGTATCACAGTGACAAAGCATATGAAGTTCATTAAATCCTTAATACCTTACGGCATATACAACACTCTTCCTTCGGGTAACAAAGACCCTGTGAAGGACTGTGTCCTGCTCTGAAACTAAAGTATCATCAAATAAATATAAGCAAATCAGTTTAAAGATCAACTGGCAGCATATCACTCTACACTGTGTACAACTCCTGGAGCCTATTTCATATTGGCATTGCCACGAGTGAAGTCTTGTCATCTGTCATGACTACTGACTGACATGGGTTTATAAAATGATATTCGAATTTAACTCACTTTTTATGTTTCTTTAACTTCTTTGGTTTCTTCTCTCGTTTCCTGCTGTACTGTTTCAAATTACATTCTTCCACATCAGAGACTTTCATGTTATTGCTTTCTGGTTGTGATAAGGTTGTCTGTATCTCTTCATCACAGTTCTTTGTTTCCTTAACATGTCCGGCTCTCACTGTCACGCTGTCACCCTCACTTTTGGTATGTGTTGTCGCACTGCCAATGTGAGATAGTGAAAGTTCTGATTCATCTTTTATCAGTTTCATGTCATTCACAGTTATGTCACTGTCTGGGCAACAAGACTTATGAGCAAATGGTCCCTTACATTTTGATGAGATATGATTAAGCTTTTGCTTTATGTCGGATACAGTCCAGTCTGTTGTCGAATTGGCGAAACTGTTACTGCTACTACTACTCTCGCTAGCTACAGAAGGACTGTGGTATAACAAATCTGTCACTTGCCAAGCTGTACTATGTTTCCCATGGCTTGAGGGGACAGAGGTATTCACCGTTGTGCTGCTACCAGTTACTTCTTCATCCACATTTTGCCTAACTTCTGCAGAGGTCACCTCTGATGCCACACTTACAGAGCTGTTCCTGATATCCAGCCTCATCAACTGTGAACCACCATCCTGGCCACTTCTTGCTTTACCATGTGACACAGAACTAGTACTGCTCTCACAACAAATGTCTTCAGGCTGCAAACTTTTAACTTCACTATTACTTTTCACAGTTAAATCTGAAAGACTCATACTTAAATTACTAGTGTCTGATTTCTTAATCTGAACACTTTTACCAACAGCTGTGCAACTGGCCTTAGGATATTGACTGCTATTAGCTGTCTCTCCACTGGTAGGAACACTGGCACTGGAACAGATGTTCCTTTCTAAAATGGTCTTTGCTGGAACTTTGCCACTGATGAGCACAGGTCTGGAGAGTTGGGAGGGAGGGCTCACTTCTCCAAGGCTAGGCATGTCCCATGAGCAACGGGGTGCTGCCTCTGAGTCACAGGAACTTGACTCATCTTCACCTGACTCACAGTATGGCACAAGACTGGCTGCCGAGCTGGCCGCAGTTGATGCGCTTAGCTCCCGCCGTTGAGGAGAAGGCTGAGGTGGAGTGCGGTATACTTTGCCATTCTTTATGTGCATCACCAATCGTGCTGGTGTGGGTGACACAGCCGGCTGGTGCAAGCCAAACACAACACGGTCCCTGCAAAAACATTCAGGGTGTCTACCAATTCAAAAACTATAATTCTGGATCTCCCTAGACATTTCTGTTTTCTTGTACATTTTTCTAGTTCATGATAATGGATAACAAAGTTCTTTGCAATGACATCAGCTCTACTGTGTCATTTCACTCTACTTAAGCATTAACATTATTTTATCTCATTATCTGCCAATTAAATGTACACTGTTTTAGTCACCATGATGGATGCATTCTTCTTACAATGGATCTGCTTCAGAATATGTTCAACTACTTCTTTAATAGTGCAAATCATGGGTTCTTATATACCTATGGCCTCAAAAGCAAGTCAGCTGTAATAACAGAGTAATTCTAACTGTTCATATTATGGACCTTTTACACAAGTAGACACCCTGTTCTTAATTTCATGCCATCATGCAATTAGATCCTCTCTACCATCCTCAGCCTTTGATTCCGTTCTCCCCATCTGCAACTACAATCTTACTACAACTAGAGCATCTTCTCCTCCACCAAAATAACAGAATCTGCTGCGTCTCATCCATCCTCACACACTCCCAGGCAATAAACAACACACCATTAGGGATACCATCAGTATCAACCAGTTACACATACCTAGAAGTTAGTTTTTAATTTACAACAAAACGGTGCAAACAAATTTATTTATATACATACCGACAGCCAACCTGAAGTTTCAATTGGCCAATGGAAATGGGAATAGGAGGAGGATTTACAAAGCAAATGCAATAAATTTCAACCATACAACAAGAGATATGCAGACTGAAATCCCAGACTCAAACTGAAACCCAAACAAATTCAATTTGATTTTAAACAAATTACGGTACATTAAATTCATTACACAGCAATCCCTTGCCAACTGCATATTTCAAGAGACCAGTGGTTTTCTATCTGTATCCATCCGGTTTTGGAAACTCTGGTAACTGATTTATATCTACGGTTCTTAACTATTTATACAAGGAAAACCTCTGTGGCTCCCACACTACAAATCCATATCTGCTGACAGCTGGGCTACAATAGCACCTGAAACCAGTTTCATAGCATCCAAATTATCATCATTATGGTGCATGTGACATTTCTCTTACATTATTATTTTCACGTATTATTATTTATTATGTACCCTCTGTGTTTAGTGAAGAAACTGGCAACCTTAAGAAATGAGAAGTGACAAAAGGATGCCATGATATGCATATAAAGACACATTTAAAGTCAGATTTCTTGACATAGTGAAAATAAGTGTTCTGTAGTTACCTGTTTAAGTAAGAAACTCACTGAAGTCTGTAAGGAACAACAACCACTGGCAGTAAACAGTACAGCCATTGCTTCTACTTACAAACTTCATAGTATCAATGCAGCAATACAAAATGGCAAAATATCTGTTCATAAATTCTGTACTGTTCCTACAAATTTAAGCAAATGCTGTATATGCAACTCCATGGCTGTATGAAGTGAGCACAAGAAACTGGACAATGCCTTTCACTCTCCTGACAGAGTGAAGCAAGACTGGAAAGTGCATGCTTGATAAATGTAGCATACAAAATTACCAATGGCATTCTTGGAAGTTCATTAAGCTTACTTAAAAAATGGAAATGAAATGAAAGTTAAGAGAAATCTCCGATATCAGATATCAATCAAATCTGTGGAAGCATTTACAGGGTATAATGGTAAGTCCATTTACAGCCTTATGTAAAATTAGGTTCCATCATGGATTAATATCACCAGAAGTTGCAATTCCCATACAACTTTTAGTGGAAGTCTCCCATATTTAATTTCCACAAAATCTGTGAAAAGGTTTATGGAAGTTCATGTCTGGCCATATATAAACTAGTTTTATTATGGATCAATATGGTTAAAAATAGGAATTTCCACAACTTTTTGATGGAAATGTTTCACAATGACTTTCAAAAGAATGTGTGTGAAGTGGTTTACAGGACACATGAAAAAGTCTTATGCAAACTAGACCTTACTGTGAATCTATACAGCTGAATATCAGAATTACAACTTTTAATGTAAGTCTCCCATATAAATAAACCTATCTAATAGTTCAGACCCCCTATACCAGATGTTCGGTTTTGTTTTGCAATGCATGCCTAAAAATGAATTTTACAAGGAAAATGATTTGTTTTACTCTAAATGAATTTCATACAGTTCAAAATTTCAACCATTCACAATCACTGTTCAGGAATAAAGGTAGTGACTGTTAATGCTGATATCTCATGTTGTGGTGTTGTGTGTTAAGACACTGTGTTCTCTGGCAGGTGGGTACCGAAATGGCAATACATTATTTGAAGATATGTGATGACCATGTGACATTGTAATGTGGATGGCCAAAACATTTCTAGGCAACAGCTCGATAAACATGTTCCCATGAATACTCAACAATGGACTCTGTTCACTGTGGGCTATGCTACAACTAGTTGCTAGGTGATTCAATACTGCTGACAACAGAGGACAGTGTATATATAGTAGTTAGGTTAAACTGTCACCACAACAAATGTATACTTGCTTTCAAAATTTACAATTAAACCTTTATTTCTGCTACATGTTTCAGTCATATACGACCATCATCACGCAATTAATATACGAATACGTCTAGTCATCAAATTATTAATAATGATCCATACTAGTGCAACATGTCATATTATATGATAACATAAATTTTGCCTCAAGTTGGTAATAAGTATTACAATTAAGTATACAAAATAAAAAATATATAACATGTACTTAGAATATGTCAAAAGTGTATACAAGTATGCTGATTAAAACAAAAAGCAAACTCCGTGGCCTGCAGTCCACAAGTGAACTATACTGACTGAGTGACCTCTGCTTGTCGGTGAAATTAGTGCCATCTTTTAGTGGATAGAGAGTGTCGCGTGGTCAGTGCAACCTATCCCCATGGCTGTTAATCTCGGTTTTGTAGACCAACTATGCTGATTATATTACAAAATAAATAAATATATATATATATATATATCCATGATGGAACCTAATTTTACAAAAGGCTGTAAAGGGACATTAACAAATATTATTAAAATATTTAAAATATGAAAACTTATTAAATTATTAAGAGATTAAGAGTATATATGCCAAGCTAATTCTAAGGTTTATGTGCTACAGTTTAGTATTACGCATATTATATATAATTTGTGGATCACTGTTTTTAGAAGCGTCCATGTAGTAAAACCAGGTTGTGAAGCCCAGGGGTAAGTGTCAATGATATACAGATTATTATGAATGTGTGATATTTTGGGTACATGTATTTCCCGACATGAATTGTGTTATTACGTGATCATTAATATGATGTATGCGTTTTCTAGTCTGGGCGTGTATATCTTAGATATGTACTACACTGTGCATTGGTTCAATGTAGACTGTTTTCTAGGTGGTCCGCGCTGCGACCGTTGCTATGCAACGACGTGGTAAACAAGCCTCTACAGCAACAGAGGCTGTGTTTTCTGCATGGTCAGTGTGGAGGCTATATAACAAAAGTTACAGACATAACAAGCTTCAGTTTTTAAGCAACAGTGACAAAATGGAGAGTCCAGGAGGGTTCAGCAGTTGAGAGCACAAGGATGAGAATGGAGCATGTCCTTAGTGAATTGTGAAGATTGAGTACAGATTAGAAGAGGAGTAGAGTGATTTGAAGACTTTATTCATATGTAGTATTTGGAATGATTTGAAGCATTTGTTTCTGTGTTTTAGTTGTGTTACCAGGAGAGAACTAGTGTGTATGAATCAATAATAGTGCTGCATTGCCTGTAATTAAATGTGATTAAGAGAGGTGTAACCAAGGAGCTAATAAGTCCAATAATTGAAACTAGAACCCGCCATTTTCGTTGCACATACCACTTTACATGCGACAATATTATAGGACTATCCTTCTGATTTCTGTCCACTCACTGTCCCAGTTTCCTAAACCACTACATCTCTGAAACTGGATTTACTTCCTTCATCAAATAATGAAGGTCAAGTCAAGGCTTTGTTTTCCTGGTCACAAATTCTAAAACACGGGTTCAGCTTATGTTTGAGTAACTGTGGCAGTGATGAAAGTTCTCTTCACAGGCCCTAACAAATCTACAGACAGGTACTTCTGACACACTTCACACTTCAAGACAACTACATAACATGCTGGAAACAGGAGAATCTACTCATAACACAAACTTCCATATTCTTGGCTCAAACCACAATCAAAATTCTATACAGCAGAATTTTGTTATATTTAATAAGTGCCAGTCCAAATGACTTGATTAAGTGTAATGTGGCAGTAAATCAGCAACTACAGAGCCTTTTAACAGTTCACAGGATACACAGCCCCAATAAATGTATGAGAAGAAAATCTCCATGAAGAGCTTATACCCTATATTTTCAATCGTTGCAGTCAGTGCTGTCACAACTGATGTGTGGCTGTCATTGTAACAGTCGCACGCTTGCTGTCTTGGCCTAAACACACAGTCAGATTGTATGTATATCACTTAGAATCACACAGCCTGTAGATTTTCATCCCAAACAGTTTGTGTTTATATGGTGTGTGTGTATGGTCACAAACTGAGACTGTACCTTTGGAAAGGTACAATGATTTCACTGAATGCTAAATGTTCAGCTGCATATGCATCACTGGGGCTTATGAAATATAGTTATCATTTTCCATAATTTGTCATGATATTCATCAGTTTTATCAGGTTCACTGAAAGACTCTCAGTATATGAAAGAATCTCTCATCACAATTGTGAAAACTGTTCTAGTATGGACCAGTAATCTTTCAGTGTCCCTCTAATCGTGCCCCACCTGCATAAAAACAGATAAAGAACAAGTACACTTCCTGCATAGTCATGTCAGACAGAGGGGCTTGTCCTTTGTCAATGTGTATTGGTCTCTTCAGTCAGCAGTTGCAAAGAGCATCAAGTACAGTCTTTCATAAAATGATCTGCCTGCAATATAGAGTTTGGGCACAGTCAGCAAACTATGCAGTGCGTGCGTACGGTGGCACTGTCAGTGAGTACGTCACTAAAGGAGCAATATTATCTTCAGATAACTGTTTGTCTGAATAACTGCCTAGAATTACTTTTTGTGCTATGTCTTATTCCTGAAGTCTCCACTTAGAAGCTCTGCCTTGCACTCAAAAGTAAGAGAACGAACTGTATCAGTCTCTGTGAATGTGACTGCAGTCTGCAACACAGTCTCAGCAAATGCCCATTGCCTGCTCACATCACGAACAAATTCATATTGCTATCTGTGTGTTGAATGTGACTCAAAGTCCACTGAGTGGAAGATGGACAGAAGTACATGAAATTATAATACACAATATACATAAAAAACCTGCATTTAAATTCATAAAAGTAAAAAGTAATGGAATGAAAATATTTATGCAATTACTTTTACTGATTCCTGATCACAAAACAAAGACACTGGCAGTATACAGTATTTATTTTGTGGTTTACTCTGAATTTAGGGAACACAGAAACCGTTCAATCAATGTGTTGCCAGGCAACAGCTCTGTAAACTTTGTCCAACACGCAAAAATAGAGGAAGCTGTTTTCTGTAGATCTGACCGATGCGCCAATAGACTGGCTGGATAGCGATCACGTGATATGTGTTTCCTGTAGGTCCATGTCCCTTCCGCAGCTATACAAGTGACAGAATTCGTTCAGGGCAGTTAAGAGTTATGACTTTCAAGCAAGCAAGTCAGTTCTCGGTAGGAGATAGCTATGGGAAGTTCATACTTGAAGAATTAGAAATTGGTCTCTGAAGGCTTAAAGTGTGATTGGAAGACTTTATTTATGTGTAATATTTTGAGTGTATAATTCAGTGAGACTATTCTAGTTCCTGTGTTATAAACCTATGAAGACTAGTACAGATAGACTGAAGAGATTAGTGTGGAGTGACTGTAAATGGTGTAAAGCAGTAAGTGTTATAATTATTTGTAGTTATGACCTGTAAGTCTCCAATAAATCCAATTACCAATCCAAAAAATGTGCGAAGATGGATACTAACGAAAGATGCCCTTGAAAAAACGTCACAAAATCGACAATCTTTCCGCAGAAAGAAAGCTAAATTTCCAGAACTTGAAAATAAACTTTTGCGATATGTGCGTAATACACGGGCGGGTGGATTTTCAGTGTCTGTGGAAATGATTCAATTTGAAGGCCTCAAAATAGCGGACAGAATGAAAATTCCTCGTAATGAATTTAAGGGAAGTT